TAGCATGGTTTTGAATTTATTATTAATCTCACTGAAACTTTTGCCCATCACGTCAAAGTCAGTGGTGAGGCTAGTATTACATATATTAAGTTAAAAGACACTTTTATCCAAAGCAACTTTGAGGAGAATCATGCACAATTTTCATGCATTTTATTGCCTGACAAGTGCTGAATTGAGAATACTTCCAGACTATTCTTGCTTAATCTGTCAATTTTTTTACATGGAATTATCTATACTGCCATTACTGCATGTGACATACGATTGGGACAAGTCTTGCTTTATTCACCTCCAGATTTAGCTTACAACTCTTATGTATTTTGCTTTCTGACAAAAATATTCAAAGATTTTTTTTTTTCTATGATTTTTGGCTAGATTAGTTAAATAAAACTTTTCTGTCATTATTTGCCCAAGTGCATAGCATTACAAACCTGCATGACTGACAGAGACTCATGTAAACACCTTAATCATATTATTGTCTTACTCAGATGGAGGCAAATAATTCAATTACTAAAGTCTATGTAAGGCTGCATGTGCACTGCAGATCTTGATGGCCAATCCCGATTTTGTGACTGTGTCTGATTGTTTTGCTGACCTGCTTACATCATCTTTTAAAAATGACTCGTATCCGATTGTCTGCATTTACACAGCGCACGGCAAAGGCGCAATGACCAGGAAAAAAAAAAGATTGGGCGCTGACTAACAGCTGATAATTAAAGTGTGCTCTTACTCTATTCCTGTATGTAATCTGATCGCAGCTTTTGACAAGCTGTTTTACTATAGTTTATGACAGAAAGGTTCTCATTTGTCCATCATCTTTTGATATATAGGCTTTTTTTTAAACCTTTAGGCATCTTAAAGTAATGTCCATGGCGTGATTTATTCACGTGATGTGTGCACTAGTTTTACATTAGTTTATATTGGTTACGTGATGGACTTTGCGCTCTCTCGCTCCCGTTAACTTGCTTAAATACCCGTGCTATATGAAAATATAAAAAGCTGTGTAGTCCTCGTGTTTGAGATTTAAGGTTTGGGACTCTGCTGAAGTCTGTTCTGAAATGAAAGTATTAGACTTGATGTCATTCGCAATGGGTTTAATGATGCGCGACTCGCATTGACAGGTGATCTCCGATCTCCGACACGAGAACACAGATCCGATTCATATTAGATACATTTCCACATATGAACAAGGCCTGAATCTAATTTGAGTAATTTGGAATCCATGTGCTTTTTTTTTCCTGCTTATATGTATATTGGCCATGTCCCATCAGTGCCACATGGGAGAAAAATCGGAGTCACTTGAACAGTGCAGTGTAAATGCGGCCTAAATATAGTCACTGATTATACTATGACGATTTTTGTTTAATTATTTTTTTATCATAGGGCAAATTTTTCTGAGTATATTACAAACGATAAGATATCACTCATCCATACTGTATACGCAGGCCGTATCGTAGGCAGCAAAAAGACTCACTAGGTTTCAGAACAGAACCACAGTGATCCATTATAACTGCAGCAGCACAGATAATTCTAGTTTGAGCAAGCTTCGGTAAGTCGAAGTGTGTGTGTGTGTGAGAGTGTGTTTGCAGACCAGAGTGATGAATGTGAGACTTGAAGTCTTTGGTCTTTCAAACTTTCCATTCTATCGACTGTCATCCATTTGTGTGTGTGCGTGTGTGAGAGTGCGCGAGAGAGATTAATAACAATGTGCTCACTGGACTGGGAAGAGACCGATGGCTCGGGCGTCTAACCAATAACATTTACTGGAACACTCCGAGTCATTAGCACAATTCCTCTGTCGCAGCGGCGACTCTCAGGCTACAAGGTCCGGCTGCTCGGAAACCAAATTTTACAGCCCGTATCAAGTTAACGGCCAATTTGTCTCCAAGCTCAAAGCGCTCTTTAATTTCTCTGTCTGTCTCACGACTGCCTTCTCTCACTCAGAAACATGACCTAACCCCTCACGACACATAGAGAAGCCTCCAGTTAATTGCAAATCCAAATTTCTCCGCTGTTTCAACAGTCGCGCAGAGCAGATTGTCATTCGGGTTTGGAAAAGCATGACTCAACTCTCTCTCGTACTTTATCATAATGTTCCTCCCATGCATCTTTCAGAGCCAAAACTCTCCTCCTCTTAAACAACCACGACAGGTGTCTGTGGGTGGACGACGATTGTTTCACTACAGAATAGATGGAGATGATAGGATGGGAACAACAAAGCGTGACCGTTTGTGTCTTTTCATAGCGCTCCCAAATTCCCTAATCATCTGATAGCCCATCCATTACTTAGATACTTGAGTTTCACAGCTGTCTCGGAGCTGTGTTATTGTGGTTAATTCACGCTTATGTGTTTTATTGCTTGTGGATGCAATCCAAGAGTTTGTTTTTAGCATCTGTCAACTGAAATATACAACAGCAAGTGTCCATTTTGAACAGAACACACTGGAACATGCATTTAATTGAACAATACTCAATAGTTTATGTTGTTTGTTTGAACAAAATGGATTCACTGTCCAAACTCGATGCATCCTCGAACTTTTGAGTCTTGTGAGGGTCATAAAAATCAAATAAATGACTGATTAAGGGAAGTACGAACAGAGGGGAAGAAAAAAAAAATAAAAAATCCTCCCACATTTCTTTCATTAGTCTTAATGCGTTTAAGACATATCAGATTTTAATCAAGCTCTGATGAGGAAGACAATCATTCTGCGAGTGTCCATTATATTTTGTTCCTTTCAGTTTTAATTACAACCAGACATTAAAGCCCAATTAAGAATCCTCTCATGCTTTCGCACTTTTGATAGGGATCGGGCCATATGGAGAGAGCTCTGTGCCAAGGAAATGAAAATTAAAGATGAAAGAACAAGGGTTTTGGGAGGAGATGTTCATATTACAGGAGGCCGCTCTTTGCAGGACACCTACTTACATGGTGATCTATCACGCTGTGAGACCAATTAGAGCCATTCTCCGAAAGCACAAGCTGGAAAGACATCGTGATGTCTTGTTCTTAAATCTCCCATGAGCTACACGTCCATTAAAGCATGTGTGAATGGTGTCGTGGCTCTCTAAGATTCAACAATATAGTAAGTCTCAAGGCGACTCGATCCTTTAATGAAGAAGGCATCAAGGTATTCACCTCACAAGAACATTTCAGCTTAAGGTGGTTATATTTATTTCACCCTATGAGTCATTGTTTTACATTCGCAAGCACAAAATAAATATAAAAATTGTATTTGTACAAATAAAATGAAAACAATCCATGCTGATTCTGATTACGTACTCCTATATACATTTTTGAAGACTGCCAGATATGTCCAAAATATGAGCTTTTTTTTTTTTTTTTTTCATTCACACCTGCTCTTCTCGCATAAATCCACTATCGACTGACTTACTGACTGATCAATTGATGGATACCCCCTTTCTTAAACCCAACCATTAGTGTTTTAAAGCACAGATTGACCTCCAGAAAAAAAAGGCCATTGATTTTACTACATTTTCAGATTTTACCACATTCACACTCTGTTATTTACTTGTTTGTTTTATTTTATTTATTTATTTATTATTATTATTATTTTTTTTGTCTATAACCCAGTCATCACCGGTCAACTCTGCTTTTCATCTTAAATTCCCCTAGGTACACAGAGAGCCACTGGACAAACTGGAACAGCAGAAAAGCTGTCCATACGAGGTGAGCAGTCAGCTAATATATTAAGTGCAAGCAGGAACAATGTTGTACCGCCTTGTAGGGTTCATTTTAGAAATGAATATAGGGCTACATTTTTAGTATGAGCCTATGTTGAATGAAAAGGCTATATTACGCAGTAAATTAACATAAAAAAAAATATTAAGCTAGAATAAGGATCACTATTTTTTTATCTAAAGAATATTAAACAATGTTGGGTAACGCTACTTTCAATAGTAACATATTTAGTCACTTAAAAAAGTAAACAAATGTGTGAGTTACTTTTTAAGGAAAGTAGAGAAGAAAAAGTCATTTTTAGAGTTGAATTTTTTTTTTTTTTTAAGATTATTATATGCTTAGGGTTGTAATATGTGCATTTTATAAAAATGCTTTACTTACTTAACCCAGGAGGCACAGGATATCAACATGATGCCAGGACATTGCATTGCGTGGGACATTGCATCTAGTTTGGCAATGAAAATTGGGTTGACAACAGAACCAAACATCAGGCTGACGTCAACAATGTCCAACCTAAAATCAACCAAATATCAAAATCTAATGATGTACAGTAACAGCTTGACGTTGTGTGGACCGTCTCACTATGACATCTATCAGATGTTGGATTTTGGTTGCCATACCTGACGAATAAATGTCAGTATTTGACATCAATATGATTTAAGATTTTGGCTCAACATTGGATTTTGATCACTTTCCAAAACAAAATAAATAAATAAATAAATAAAAATAAATAAATAAAATAAAAATCAACCAAATATCAAATGTCATTTAACGTGGACATTTGACATCATCATTGGACTTAAAAAAAAAAAAATGTTGTCCTTAGACTCTGGCTAGACATAGAATTTTGATCACCCAATGTCACAACCTAAATCTAACCTAATATTAACCTCGCCTGGGAAGAAGCTTTATCAAGACAAGCAAAACATATGGTCTTGTCAAAAATACATGTGTTCTTCCTTCAATGGGGTAATAATTAACCTATAATTTAACTCTTTTAAAGCTTAAATTAACCTGTATTTTTTTTTTTACATCAAAATGAAAAAAAATATTTAGCTTACTTCATTGGCTGATCATTTATTTATTTATTTATTATTATTATTATTTTTATTTTTTTACCAGGGGAAACACTTACTTAATGTTGGCATATTATTTCAAAATCATATACTAAAAACAAGACAAAAAAATCTAAGCATAACATTTTTTTTTTTGGAAGTGAAGTAACTTTAGCCAACTCTTTAGATAAGGAACACGCAGGAGGTCTGGACTATGAAGAAAACTGACTGCACTCAATTTATTCAAAGACCTACATTTACCAGACCTCTTCATTTCCTCACAAAGTTGCCATATGGCTCTAGCAGTATCTGTAGAAGTATAATAGCCATGCAGTATACTTTTATAGTTTTTATGGTGTTTTTTTGTTGTCCTTTTAGGAGCCGCGAGCTGATGTTGCATGCAAAAAAGATGCATGACGACCCTTTTTACCAATTCTCTATTCGTGTTGCATAGGAAAAACAACACCATGCTGGTTTGGAATGACATGGTGGTGAGTAAATAATGACAGTTTTTGTGTGTTTTTTTTTTCCTGTTTTTGCCTGAGCCATTCCTTTAACAAGACTCTGGAAAGCAGCTAGTGGTCACCGAGGCACAACAAACACACGTATACACACATACACATGCACACAAGCACACACACACAGTCTGCCTGTCTGTCTCTCTGTTTTTGATGGTGACACTCTAAGGATCTCTGGCAGCCTCTCTTCTGTTGCACCTCCAGAGATGCGCTGTGTTTTGTGTGAGTGTGTGCTTTCAGCGGCCATGAATAATGATCAGAGCAGTAGGGCGGGTAAGTGCCGAGTCCTCAACCCATAATGCAAAGAGGAATTACCACAGAGAAACCTGGCGTACTTCACAGCACACAATTTCCATTATCTTTAAATGGCACCAAGGACATTTAAGAAAAGCTGTTGTTCTCCTTTACTTTGCTTTCGACCACAGGCTGTTTTAAGGCGAATAGATGGAGACTGTCCTTTTGAATTGAATAGACGTTTGTTTTTTTCTCTCCGCTGCAAGGCCTACGCTCATTTCTCACATGTACTTCGGTGGACAGAAATTGAGCTCATCGAATTTGTAACCACAGATATTGTGACTGAGGTGAAGATTATGAGTGAATGATTGATGTCTGTTTGCATGCAGAGCTATTGTTTGATGGAGAAAAAAAAAAGTGGGGGGTGTTCTATATTGTCCCAACTTTTGATTTGGTGTTGTAAAATTTCAATGAAATAATTTTCTCCAATTAATTGAAAATCCTAATGTTAAGCCAAATGTTCCTTTTGAGTGTTGTGAAGATCCCGTGAGTTTCTATTTGTATGTAATGTTCTTTTCTTAGATGAAATAAAAAGATACAGGTGAAGTGACTGGAATCAGCTCTGGCTATTAAGTTAAAGTGTGTATGCACCTTTATAGAGTCAGGGGAAACCACAAGTGTACTAAACCAAACAGCACCATTCATTCACATGCTGACTTCAAGTTTAAAGAACCACTTACAGTTTAATATTCACATACTACACCACATGTTGCCATTTGATTAGATGTACAGCACAATTTCTGCTAATTATATTTTTATGACTACATTCCGCAATTTCGTACACTCCACAGACATCACATACAGGACCCTCTCTGATCATTAAAGTATTCTCTTAGTTAAAACTCTTAAAAAAAACTATAGGAAGTCAAAGTCCCTCATTAACTGAGACCGTTAACTTCTTTCACAGTAAAAGCAGCAAAAAAAAAAAAAAAAAAAAAAAAAAAAAAAAAAACAGGCACTGCAGTGGTCAACATGAAATGAAAACAGAAGTGCAGTTCTGAATGAATCTTTAATGAGACAAATTCTGGCATATTTTCATTACGTGCTGAGAACGAACGTCACCCTGTTCCAAAGAGAGTCAGTCTGCATATGTGATGAACTAGATAAAGGGCCTAAAGGATACACTTAAGAAGCAAGAAGCAGTTTAAACACAAATGCAGCTTAGTATCAACAACATCTGTGGCGTGATGTTAAGTGTCTTAACATTAATATGGCATCTCTTATTTTTTTCTTTCTTCTTTTTTTTTTTTTAACCACAAGGTGATATCATCTCCCATTTTTAGGAAATTAAATCACAAAAATATATTTTTTTTATACTTATTAAACATATTAAATTCAACTACTGCTGTGTTCACTTTGGTGAAGATAAAATGTTCCATTGTAATTTAACCTAGAATATACAGTATATTTGTAAGAAAAAATAATAATTTTCTAGCCTGTACATATTATAATATTTGAAGCAATAAGTGATCATCCATTTTATAACTTTTGAAATAATTAATAAATCTTAGGTCACACTTAAGTAAATAAGTCTCAGTTGTACCTAGAGTGTGTATGTAAAGTTTCAGCTCAAAATACTCCACAAGTAATGTTTTATAACTTGTTGAAGCTTCTCCTTTCAGGCTTTCATCCTGATTTTGGTGACTGTTTCTTTAAATTCAAACGAGATTGTGTTTCCTGCTCTCTTTTTAAAAAGGCGGAGCTACAATTTGGGTGAAAACTATAAGTCGTGAAACTAATATGGAGGTAACTGTAACTGCAATTCATCGAAAGGCCACTAGGACTGGCTCCAAAACAGGGCACATTTCTATTGACTCCAATAATAAAATCTCCAAGTGTACAGCAAAAAATAATGGTGTTTACAGAGTCGTACAAAAAAGATGTTGATATATATAGCTAATATTAACCTTGGTGTCAACTGTGAGGGGGTGAATTGTTTTTATAGCTCCTCCGTTGTCAAATTATAAGCCTTAAAATTCTGCATAATTAAGGACATGGCCACTTCAGTGACAGCTAGGTCTCTAGTGCTCTTTACATCAACAAAGTGGGAGATTCAAAATAAGATTAACGCCCTATGTTCATGAGGTTGAGATCGTCCCTAATGGGCAGGGCTTTCCTCCTCTGATGACATGTACAAAGGGAGAATGTCAATCAAACATTTCTGCACTCTGTTTTTATAAAGTGTAATCATAAAAAAATATAATTATTAATTTTGTACCATTAGAAGCTGGTTATATTCATAGACTATTACCACATACCTGTTTAAACGCCCTATAAAAGTGATCTTTGCACAACAGGTCACACTTTACATTTATATTACTACAATAATGAACCATTAACTATAACATTTGCCTCAAAACTCCTCATTTGTTCATTAATAGCTATTACATATAACACTTTAAAACGGCAATTAATTAGTATCTTTGGGGCCCAATGTGATCCGTATTATTATTTTTATGCATATTTAACCAAATGATTGTTGATAAAAGTATGCCTGACATAACTTTCTGGTATGTCAATCTCTTTTATTACTTGAATTATAGAAAACTATTAGCAATGGCAATATATAAGACGGGCAACGCAGTGGCGCAGTAGGTAGTGCTCTCGCGTCACTGCAAGAAGGTCGCTGGTTCGAGCCTTGGCTGGGGAAGTTGCCGTTTGGAGTTCACATGTTCTCCCTGCATTCGTGTGGGTTTCCTCCGGATGCTCCGGTTTCCCCCACAGTCCAAAGACATGCGGTAAAGGTGAATTGGGTAGGCTAAATTGGCTGTAGTGTAAGAGTGTGAATGAGTTAGTATGGATGTTTCCTATAAAGATGGTTTGCAGCTGGAAGGGCATCCGCTACGTAAAACATATTATGGATAAGTTGGCGGTTCATTCCTCTGTGGTGACCCCTGATTAATAAAGGGACTAAGCCAAAAAGAAAATGAATGAATTAATATATAAGACCAGACAATAAATGCAAAATGGCACAAATATTTACAGCCATATTACAAATATGCTGTTTTATATATGGTTTTAATTCTGTATTTTTCAACTTAAGCATCATAGAAATATTAGTTAAATTATCAGTTGATAGTATTGTTATGTATATTTTTACATGGAGAACATTCGGCATCTCTGAAAGTACCCACTTCGGATGTTATCACTCGATTGAATAGGCATTATCAGTTGTTATCAGCTGATAAATATGGGCCAGTATTTTTTTTGGTGCCTATTAGTAGGCTCAGAAGGCTATTATCATCCATCCACATGGTTAATCAGCTATACTAATAGAGAAGACTCCAGATGCAGATCTGTTTGTACATTACTGTGACGGTTGGGTTTAGGGTTGATGTAGGGGTAGACGTTAATAAAATACATTTAAGGAGAAATTTAATACATATTATAAATAATAATTGTGTTTAATCATCTATACTAAGAAGAATCCAGATCTGTGTTTACATTACTGTGACGGTTGGGGTAGAGGGGAATTTAATAAAGAATATAAATAATTCTCATTACTTCTGGCTGCAGCTGTATGTGATCTATAGCTAATTAACCATGTGGATGTATGATAACAGCATTCTGAGCCTACAAGTAGGCGCAGTAGGCCCCTACTCGCCCATATCTATCAGCTGATAACACTGATAACGCCATTCAATCGAGTGATAACATTCAAATCAGCAGCAGTACAATTTAGATCTTTTACAAAATAAAGTTTTAAATGTTTTGCTGAAAATGTAAATAGTTTGTTTGCGAGTGTTTTTATTGCTTCCACAATGTTACACTGTGATATAATAATATTATTACTAATAATGTGACCAATTAATATAATTAGGGTATATTTGTACAGGAAAGTGCTATTGTTCTGTGTCTTACTTTCTTTTTAATAACATTATTTTCCATGTAATTGAGTGCACTATTTTCTTGTACTGGTTTGTGAAATATACAAACATTCAGATTGAGATTTATTTCTACAAATATGTTTTTTTTATTTTTTTTTCTGAAGAAACCCTTGGTTCATTTGTGCGTCTGTGTCTGGAATACAGAGAATTGAGCCAATTATTTTCTGACTACAAATGCACTCAATAGAGTGTCCATTGAGGCCCAGTCTTTTTACTATAATTACCCAATCTGTGCTAGGGTTAAGCAAGAAATATAATAAATTGAATAGTAATATTTAATATTCCATGTGTTTTTGTACTTAGTCTTGAAAGTGGCTGGGGGTTGATGAATGAATCAGACCTCCTGCATTACTATGCATTAAAGTAAACGGAAAATCAAAGCAAATATTCCTCTAGTGCAGTGTAAACGGCTTGAATGATATTTAATTTGTGTCTACTTGATTTGTTAAAAACAAGTCAAAAATGATCAATCATATAAAAGACGTTTAGGTGAAGCAGAACACGATTAGAGATAGAAACAACCAATTTTTTTGTTTTTTATGCAGTATGTCAGTTATGATGAATTGAAATTGTCATTACACAAAGCCGCACTTTGTGCCGCAGAAATCATGCAGACATTATTCAAAAGAATGATTCAGTCCTGATACTTGATGCCCCTATTAGATATTAGTACAATCCACTTGAGTACAGAACATGACTGGCTCTCAAAACACAGCATGGCACTCATGGCGGAGAAGGGATTACGTTATAAGACTGAAGCGCTACTTTTGCTTTACATACAGTACAAGAGAA